ACTCTGGGGGTGAAAATTCCGCCTCAGCCCGCTCCCTCTCCGCGACTCTGAGGGGAATTCACCCCCAGCTCCGGAGGGACCAGAGGGAATTCAGAAGCAAACGTCCCTGACGCAGCTATATCCTGGATAATTGTGGCAGTGACTGTAATAAACACTGTATTGCTGAAAAAAAATTTTTTTAGAAATGATCTGGATGTAGGAATCGAATGTAAATTAATAAATGAGGAGGAGGTGTGGACTCCCTTGAGGGTAGAGAGGCTTTACAGAGGGATCGGAAGACCAGAGGGAATTCAGAAGCAAACGTCCCTGACGCAGCTATATCCTGGATAATTGTGGCAGTGACTGTAATAAACACTGTATTGCTGAAAAAAAATTTTTTTAGAAATGATCTGGATGTAGGAATCGAATGTAAATTAATAAATGAGGAGGAGGTGTGGACTCCCTTGAGGGTAGAGAGGCTTTACAGAGGGATCGGAATAGACCAGAGATGTGGGCAATCACCAACCATATGAAATTTAACAAGAACAAGCGCAGGATTCTCCACCTGGGACGGGGTAATCCTGGTTACACATAAAATTGGGCAACGAGAGCTCAGAGAGCAGCCCCGCAGAAAGAGATCTGGGGGTCTGGTTTGATGGCAAGTTGAATATGAGTCCAGAGTGTGCCCTGCCAGCCCAAAGGGCCAACCATCTCCTGGGGTGCATCACGCCCTGCGCAGCTAGCTGGTTGAGGGAGGCGATTGTCCCACTCAGCGCTGCACTGCTGCCACCCCACCTCGAGCACCGTGCGCAGTTTTGGGTGCCTGAATATAAGAAAGACATCAGAATATTCGAGTGTGCCGAGAGGAGGGCAACCGAGATGGTTACAGGCCTCGAGGGCAAGACAGGAGTGGCTGTCACTTAGCTTGTTCAGCTTGAAGAGAAGGCTGAAGGGTGACCTCATCACTGAGGGGTGACCTCATCGCAGTCTACAACTTCCTCACGGGGGGCAGCGGAGGAGGTGGTGCTGATGTCCTCTCTCTGGTGACCAGCAACAGGAGACGAGGAAATTGGATGGAGCTGCGTCAGGGGAAGTTCAGACTGGACATTAGGAAAAGGTTCTTCACTGAGAGGGTGGTCGGTCGCTGGAACAGGCTTCCCACGGAAGCGGTCACAGCACCAAGTCTGCCAGAGTTCAAGGAGCATCCAGACCACGCTCTTAGTCCTATGATTTGGTTTAGGTAGTCCTGTGAGGGGCAGCGAGTTGGCCTCAACGATCCTTATGGGTCCCTTCCAACCTGAGATATTCTATGATTCTGCGAAAAGGGCAATGAGAAGAACGAGTTAAAGCCCCTTCCCCCAGAGACCTGCTCCCACAGACTCAGCACGGACACCAGGCAGACTGCAACGTGCCATGCTCGTGAATATTCCAAAATATTCCTCCTGTCAGCAGGACTCAGCTCGGCCACAGCTGTTTACAACTGGCTAACACCAACCTTCAGGAACAGCACCCAGTCCAGAATTGGAAACCTCAGAGGAAAAACCTCCGGTCACTGCAGGGGTTTGTGTCTGTCACTTTTTTTTTGAAACATCTGAGTTCTCTGTGGATTTGTCTGCTGCGAGGATCCATGGATCCCCGCCATGCCAGGGAGGGAAGAACTACAACATTTAGGCCGAAAAAAAAAAGTGCCAAATCCCTTTCTATGCAATAAAACAGTTAAGATGAGATCTCTCAGGGCTTTCCAGGGCCAGTCACTCTGAAAAGCAGATAACAGTCTTTCCTCACCCTTTCCATGAAATAATAATTTTGTTTCTGTCCTTAACGGGTCATGGGACTCTGTGCTCAAACCCACCAGTGACATACGAGTTAGGATTTCTGGTTGTTCAGTGTGAAACAGCAGCTGTTGAAGCTGTTCAGTGATGCAGAAACCCCTCAGGAGAAGAGCAGAGCAGGCAGAACGAAGACGAGGTGGCAGAACATGCCAGGCTTGTGAAAGATTCCAGGGTACGTGCGCACAGCAGTACAGAAATACTCCTGAAAAGGGAATATTCTGAATTTCCTCAGCTGCAGTCTGCTGCAGGTCAGGAAAATGACATCACTGCACCACCACAAACACAGGCTCTGTAGGAGTTTAATCTCCCTTGCGTACCCTTCCCACCGACAACTGCTTACGGACGTGGGTAATCCCTCCCAGCTCCACGGGACTCGTGCCGATGGTAAGCTCCTCTTTCAGGAGCAAGCCTCGGTAGGCTCTGGCTCAGTTCTTACTGAGGCAAGATGCAATCTGGGTCATGGAGCTGCATCCCAATTATTCAAATTAAAAATGAAAATGAGCGGCAGAGCTTGGGACTGAATGTTCTCTACCCAGGCCTAAGGACAGCTCTCCGCGCTTTGCAATGAAATAGCATCTATCCAGCAAAGCCTGTAATTGCATCACAGCTCAGGAGCAAGGTAAGAGTAGGGATGTAGCAGGCTGGTCCCCAAAAACCGCGGTTTTATCCATTTTGCTTTATTAAGTATAACCGTTGCAACCCCATACGCTTTCTGAAGTCACTCAGATATTTGGAATATCCCAAATTGCTGCCAAAGACTGCTCCAGACAGGTCAACCTCACGCACCAAGTATTAGACTCCATCGCTCCTCCCCTGTTTGGCCCTGTAAGGAGAACCAGACCTCACCCGCGGGTCTTCTGGCCAGAAGCTGTTGGATCCTTGAGTCTCCGGCCCGGCCTTATAGCTGTTATACCTTGGGAGAAAGGCCACGGTGAGGTAGCACAGCTGAGCAGCGTACCGTATAGCAGGGCCCTGCCGGAGGGGATGCTCTCGATTTACACGCAACCCTGTAGTCCTCGGTCTCGCTGCAGGGGAGATAAAAAGGAGCTGGTAAGGGGGAACACGCACAGTCACAGTGAAAGTTCTGAATGCTGAAGAAAACAAGGGGAATGCTGGTATTTGAGGAATCTGCTGGGGAATGAACATCCCCAAGGATATTAAACCATTACTCGTAGGCTTACAGAAGCAAGCAAGAGAACCCTACGATGTAAATGAATGCAAAATACCAGACACAATGGGAACAGAAGTATCCAGCTATGGCGTTTAATCCATTTTTCCAGGCCCAGACCTGACAGATAGAACACAACGCAGTACATTTTGAAAAACCTGTTTCTGTCTCACAGCGTACTACGCTCGCCTTCAGGCTGCCACAGAAAAGCTCCTGTGCATGGTAACTGCAACGTGTTTGACCTGGAAACCCGGAAAATGCTTGGACTGGAGACTCTCAGATCAGTGCAAAGAGGCACTGGCCTCACGCTTTGAGGACTAAGAAGTGATCTCGAAAAGACCAACCTCATCCCAGGACTATAAAACGAGCAGTTAGAACTACTCACAGCTACGCCTGTCTATTTTTCTACGCTTTCTGGGTAACAGCCACACAGCTCATTTGAAGTAGGAAGAAGGCAACTTAAAAATACATCTGCCAGCACCTCTGGAGGGAAATCATCCATGTCAATCCTATCAGAGCACTGTTACCAACCAGTGAAGTCTCACCTATGACTAATTCTAACACTTTAAGCAGCGATTCCTGGTTTTTGTGTTCTGGGTATTTTTAATTTCAAAACCATTAAGATAAAAAGGGAGTATCTCCTACCGTGTGGCAACTAACACCATATGTCAAGGTAAACCATATATGAAACAGAATGACAAATTCGTGCAGAAGCTCACTTAAATGCTGTAGCACATTGCTCTGTGTTAAGTTTCACCGCAAGAATGTTTCCTTAAATATACGCTGAACTTCAAGAAACGTGCTTCAGGAACCACAGCAGGTAGTTAGCAGTCAGCACGGGAAAATCAGTCACAAAAAGCGTGTTTGTGGCAATAAAAGACTCAACCACCCTCAATAATTTTATATATATGCGTATATCCCCAAATCTGAGATAAACAGCTACTCCTCAGAGTACGATTTAAACCTCCGTAACCAACAGGTACCAGCAGAATCACCATTTAGCCAGCAAGTCAAGTTCAGCACCTTGGCAGCACGTTTAACAGTACCTGAGGCCAGGGGAAATCCCTCTCCCGAGACACAGTGCTGCTGAGATGCACCGGCACTGCCTGGAGCGCTCACCAGGAGCCACGGCTCTGCGTGCAAAATTAATTCACAGAAATATGATGGAAGGATAGTGAGAATCATTAGAAACCAAAAGCAGCAGCACTAGCAGCAGCATTGAAGTGTATGTGTTTGTCTTCCCACAGGAGTGCTCCTTCTCATTCAACACATGAAGTTACAGCATTGCTAAAAGCCTATTAACTAGCCAACAGTTCCTAAATATAGTGTTAATATGCAAATGTACTTTTTTTTTTCTTAAGCAATGAACTTTTGTGTTGCATTTTCATTTAATACATATTGCTGCAGGACAATGAAGTTTAGTATTTCTGACGGGTAGAAGGAAGGCAAAGAAGTGACCTCTGAACTTGACATTTCAGTAAGAGATTCAAGATTTCCTCGCATCCCTGTTTATAATTCTTACACGGCTGAATTCTTTCTTGGAGGAGAGGTACTGAGAGAGTTGTTAGCTCAGCACAGGCAGAAGAATTCTCTGCTAAAACTCTAAAAATAGAACTGTGTCCAGGGGAAATACTGCTCCAGCCCCTTTGCTAAATAGCCCCAAATTATTTCCTCACATGTGATTCAAGGGTGGAATACTTTAATACAGAATTTGGCAGAAAAGCTTCCATAGATGTTTCCCATAGTTGTCTGTCCTTCATTCTTCTAAGCATATTTAAAAACAAAATACCTTAAAACAAATTCTCTCAGCAATGTCATTTACTGTACAGATAAATAACAAACAACTCAGTAGGCTGCAGCTCATGATAGTACAGAATTTCTTCAGAAGTGCGCAAAATAGCATCGTAGTTACCAGAATTAAGTTTTTAAACTATAACTGGATGTGGTTTTAAATAGCCTTAGTATCTACCACCATACTCCCCCAAAACAATCACATTGTTCATATTCAATAGTGTTACACACAAATTACTTAATACCAAAAAAAAAAAGTCAATGCATATACATCTACTTGAAATAGATGAGCAGAATCCTTGTGTAGCATTTAGGTGCTTATTTTTCAGTAGAAAAAGCCCTCTTCATCAGTGGTGGAGGTGCTTTTCCAACATCAAACATCATTTCCAGTGGAGGATTATTAAGACAGCACCAGTCAGGTATGCGGCCTGTCTGGCTGTAATATTCTTTGGACACAGATCGGCTCCCAAGTATGTCCTGAAGTGCTCCAAAAATGGCTCCTACATTATTGAAGGGGGAAAAAAAATGTTGCATTAATTTGATGTATTGAATTTCTTTTTCTACTACTTCCCAACAAAAATCTCAACTATTCTTTTTCAGCTCTGTCCCAGAAATTAAAGGAACAAAAGGATCTAGGCACTTTCCTTTTCAATAGCCCAGCCAGTCCCAAACTGCTTCCATTTATGTCCCTTGAAAGTAACTGAAAACAAAGAATCATCTAGTCTCTGCTGAGAACAAAACTGGCCTAGCTGACCTGCTTCTTACAACAAAGTTTCCTAGTTTTGATTTTTAAGCACTTCAAACCAACCATCCTGCGTTTAAGGAAATTTCTCCTCCCCAAAAAGGGCGTCCCACAATATCCATAAGAAGTTTACGCAAGCTATGAGAAGATTCAGACCACAGCAGGTGATTAGCACTGCCAGTGAAGAAAAGTTATCAGAGAACTTGGCGCATATAAATCATTCTTGTTTGCTAATCCTAAAAGGAGACTCAAAAGGTTTTGAGACTAAAATTTTATAAACATTTACATTTCAAAGCACATGGAAGTAAAAATCTACCTTTACAGTTAAAGTTCATACATACAGTTAAAGTTCATACATACCAGATGGGCTCAGCTTATTAATTGAAAGCTTACAAAAGCTTATCAACCTCAGAACCCTCCTTAAAAGAACTGCTAGCAACAGAAAGCCCTTCTATTCCCCCAACAGTAGCCAAAACCCATTGCAGCGCTGCTGTATTTGTTACTGGCACTTGCGAACAGCACAGGGAGTCAGGAGCCTCCGGCCTCTCCGTAGCTCACAGCTCCTCAGTCAGTAACTAAACTTGTTTTTCCAACAAGCGGACCTTCCCCCGCAGCAGGGCTCTGCTCCGGCGGTTCCTTTGCTGGTGCCACCGTGCGGCGGTAGCCCTGTACTGCACTTGAGTCACCACCTCACCCTCCACACCTCTCGTTCAAAGTGCTCCTCACCTGGTTAAAGCTCCCATAACCTGCAGGGCCATTCTGCCCTCCAAATATCCCGGAGGGAGCTTCACTCCACACAATTTCTTCCAGGAGGGCATAACAATTCCACAGAGTTCTAACGCAGCTTGATTTCAATCGTTCACCTAATTTTTACTGCGATTTATTCATTACAAACCCCACTTGGAAGGTTTGGTTTTCACTTTGCTTAACAGTTTTCATTCTTACCTCCCAGCCAGGCCACGCAGTTGGGTTTGGCAGGCGGAGTGTGAATTCTGAAGGTTTTAGTGGCAAGTACTTCTTTGTATTTCGGTTTCTCTACCAGGTATCTGATTTCAGCCATGAGCCTGTGAAGGAATCCTGGCAACATAGCGGTGCCACCAATAACCACCAAGTTCTCTGCCAACTGCTTCCTGGTGTCTATGGGACACTAATGCAAACAGGAATAAAAAAAAAAAACCAAACACTTTAGTTAAAGTTGCACATACAAGCATCCAAAGGTCTTTCTACGCGCTTCAATCGCTGTTTTCTCATACTTAGCTGAAACATAACCTACATTTTTTTATCCAGACTTCCCAAGAAAACCAGGCGTAAGGAACTGCCCAGTTGAGGCTTACACGGGCGCACTGAGTCCCTGTAAAGCCCTTCAGGTGAGACAGACCAAGCCAACAGAGGACAGAGGTACTGGTGACAATAATCCCCATGAGTTCTGGGAGAAGACAAGCCAGAGAGAAGTGAAGCTTCAAACAGTGCTCTCAGAGAGCGAAAACTTACATAGGAGACTGACTGTTTTTAGCTCCACGTGGGAGAAAGGCACAACAGTCTCAGTAGCATAAAAAGTTTCTGCTGGAGCTTGCCTTTGGCATCAGACAATCCAACCAGAAGACACAAAGGCATGAGAAGACCAAGCTTTGTCTGTTCCGCCCCTCACAAACAGAACTGCGCTATCCCTTTCAAAAAAATTCTGGGCCGTTGTGGTCCTCTTGGCCAGAGGAAGTAACTGGACGCTATTTAACGCTTGTAAATTCAACTTTTTTGTCTTTCCTCTGGCCAAACGGTGACACAAGGTAAATGCCTAGAGGTACAGAGGTGACGGGTCCAGGCACAGATCTTATTGAACAATTTGTTTTCATAAGGAATTCTAATTGAAATGTTTGTCATGTCATCCAAGCCTTTGGCTCTCCAGTAAATTACGTCTCGGCAAACTAATTTAAATGGCATCAATAACTACAGGAAGTCAACTTTAATTAACATACATACACTACCACATAATGAAAATTTCCATTTATAGTGGGTTTCTAATGAATTTTTTTCCTAAATATAAGAAATTAAGTATTTGTACATGCCAAGAAAATTTTCCACAATAAATCTAATATACTGCCTTTAACAGAGATGTCCAAATTGATTTTATTCTATCTTCGGTAAACCAGCAGTCTGCAGGACTCAAACTCTAACTCTCAGCAAAATACCTTGAAAAAAGAAACAAGATACCTGTGTTGTTTCCGTTTAAGCAGTGAAACGCCTACGACACGAAGTATTAGCTACTCCTTCATCATTACACATGTAGAGCCCCACCCCCAAATAAAGGCAATCTAGTTTATTACTTTTGCTGAGGGGTGGGCACTGCGTTTCTAAGAGAACTGTCCTAGACACATTGCAGTACATGAAAGAGTAAAAAACAGTCACAGAGTGGATGACACATGGTGACTTATTACCCCACAAAACCATCACGTGGCAGAACCCTAGGAGTCATGCTGCGTGAAACTTTTTCAACAGATTGCAACCTGCAGTCAGAAGGATGTTACTCTAGATAGAGGCGTTTATAACAGCAGGTTCTAAGGCTGGAGGCATTCACTAACTTGCTTCTAATATAAAGATACCTGAATGAGTGAATCTAAGATCAAAGTGGCAACAGATGTCTCTTCATTATCCTGTTCAAACAGTATTTCGACAACGGAGTCTCTGTTGAGAAGACAGGAAATGAGTGTTAATGAGAAGCAATACTACGTTATGAGCTAACACTCAGAAAGAGCAGAGCTGGAAATAACTACAGACTTCCTGCTGACAACACATCATCACTACTTCTTGTCATACAGTCCATGCACCAGGCAGTGCCAACAGGGAGGAGACAATGTGCCGTTCACTTCACTAAACTGTCTCATCATCATGCATTAATACTCTACTTCTGTTTCCCCCATCCCTCCGATCTGTTTGTTCTCATCGTCAACTGTGAGCTCTCTGCAGAAGCTGACACCTCTTATTATGGGCTTGCACTGTGCCCAGCACAAAGCCTTAATTTAAGAGACATTAAAAGCATATGCACGTGTTTCATTAAAATTCAATTTTATGAAAATTTATGTGCTTTTAGAGTTAAAAATACATCCTCCTAAAGACAAATATTCTGCCACTGTATTTCTCACCTGATGGGGCCAACTACGTGGAGAATCTTTTCTCCATCTAAAGGATAGTCCACATCTGGAGGTGGTGAAGGACGCTAAAGATAAAAACATACGTGCATTAACTGAGAGGCCAAAAAGGCTACATCCACTTCAAAAGACTAGGATAAGCTTCCTTCTCCACCCACCTCAGCACTGCCATCAATGTTGAACTTGGCTGCTTGGATTTTCAGTCCACGTTGGAGATCACTCACAAAACAAGTGCGGACTTCAGAAAAGAAAAGGGCAGAAGAGAGGCTTTGTTGGATCCTTTTATCACCAATAAAGACAATAATTTTGCTTAATTTAGAGAAGAACACATACTTTAGGACCTCGCTGGTCCAAGACATTATCAAATAAATGCAAAGAAAACTTCAGGAGAGTTCAGATGCCATCTAGACCATGAGTTCAAATGAAGCTGACACCAAAACTACGCTAGGACAGGCAAAATTTCTTCCTCAGACAAGCCACATAAGATTTAAGGACAGAAGGATGTTACTAATCGTGCCTTCAGTTATCACAAGGTGCCAGGGGTTGTATCCTGCTGTCAAACACACCACTGCAGGTCTTGCACCATGGCTTCAAATGAGACACCGCTCATTTCCTAAACAAGCTGTAATCATGCAATATTCTTCCTAGGGCAACTCTTCAGCACTCGAGGAATTCCAGAGGTTTTGGGTTTTTTTCTCCAAGCAACATTGACAGACCACAGTTTCATCTGTACCCCAGCTGTTAGTGCTATTATATACTTATTTGTATCTGGCACAAGTAAGTATCTTCTTCATAAATGGCTGTCACAAACAAACAGTCCTTCAATACACAGGCAACCAGAATTTCAACCCCAGCATATTATATCTGGTTTCAAAAGACTGCATAAAACACAGAATTGAACAGAAAATTGTGTTCAAGTCCAGGAATTGGAAAAGCAACTTCCATTTGGCAAAGCACCAGCTGCGTTTAAGATATTTCACATTTGACTGACGGATTTCTTCCTAATTTGGCCCAAGAGATACATACTAGTTGCTATTTTCTAAAATTATATATATTTTTGTATCTGTTGCACATGAAACCTTACATAGGAATTCATCCAAGTTCTGCCCAAAGACAGACTCTATTTTTTCTGGTTTAAATGTAGTCCTTGACTCATCTTGCCTGCCTGATTAACACACCAAAATGTCTTTCATATACACTTTAGGTTTTTTTTGTAAAATCAACTTTAAGAAAACTCAAGCCTTCCTAGTTAATTTATAAATAAAAATTAACTTAAAATATTCTTATGTCATGACGTTGAGACTGCTTAAATGCTGCATTTGCAACCAAAATGTATCTATGATAACAGGGTTTGCACATCAGAGTTGCTAATGTAAAGTACACACGCCTTCCTAGTTAATTTATAAATAAAAATTAACTTAAAATATTCTTATGTCATGACGTTGAGACTGCTTAAATGCTGCATTTGCAACCAAAACGTATCTATGATAACAGGGTTTGCACAGAGTTGCTAATGTAGAGTACACACTGTACACATTCATATGCAGCAAATAAAATGTCAGTAGTTAAAAAATGCAACATGAAGTTAACCTGACCCACTGATCATAGAATATATACAATAGTGTACTACTCTTTCTACGCTAGTCTACCAAATGTATCTAAGAGCTACGTCTCAACAGCACATAGGCTGAACCTGAAAGAGGAATTCAACATGGTTTTGGTTTTGCTTTCAAAGAGGAAGAACATTGCAAGTTCTTCCAGTAGGTAAGAAATATGGTAAATAGAGAAGGTAAAATAAATTCCTAGATGTAAAGTATTGCATGCTTGTTATTATCATACTCTACTGCACAATTTAACAAACTAGAGTTCCATGAAGTAGAAAATTTTACCTTTTATATCCTCTACTATGTCTTCCGGAACCGAGCCTGAAATAAAAAAATAACTTAGAACAAAACCTTTTTAAGTAGAAAGAGAACTTAAGAATGAAACTAAGTTTGAATTACATTTAGTACATTAAAGTTTCCTTTTGACAGCAGCTTGTAAAGATTTTTAAGGAAGAATATTAAAAACAGAAATAAAAAAGTTTGTCTTCTCTCAAAACAGACTGAAAAATTACTACGCAACTTTTATCTCAGCCTTCATTCAAACGCTCTGCTATGAGTGGCTTATCATAAAAATAACGTACTTCTTAAATGCAGAGAAAGAAATTGTAAAGGTAGATGACATAAGATGCAGTGAATGCTAAACTCATTTTATTCACTGTTAGTATTACTCCACTTTCCCCAGTGCAAGTTCCCAGCACACATGCTACATCAAACAGACCTTACCCATCACAGATGGAAGGCTTTGTCCTTTGGCTAATCCCGTATCAACTGTGCACTGCTCCAACAACTGATACTCCAGTTCCCTAAAACATTGCACATCAAATTAGTTAAAAACAGATATTAAGCCAGGCTAACAGTCTATATTATGCTTAAGGGAGAGTATTTATTCCTTCCAGTTACATTCTTCTAAATATAAACTGAAGTAGATCTGATTTCCACAGCTTTTACTACGTCAACAAAAGCCAAACCGTGGTAACTTTAAGAATCAGATGCTGTCACAGCTATGATTTAAGTCATGTTCAACAAGAATCTTTGCTCATTAGTCAAAGATGAACTTTCACAAATAAATCATTGGTAACCTGGAATGTATAACTGTGAACTTACTTGTGGATAGCCTTTCCTCCCAGAGGAAGGGAACCCCAGCAGCTCAGAATTGGAATTCCCTCATATATCTACATGAAGATCAGGAAAGTCTCCTTTTTTGTTATGAGTTTTCAGTCTGCTGGAACTAAATGCTTTTTCCCCTCAACAATCTCTTGTATTAGCTGTTGGAAACACTTTCTAACTGTTTTTCTCCACAACTAATTTCTAGTGTATAGAGGCTGAAGTTATGAACCACCCTTCCCACGTTTCGAGGGAACACAGATTTAGCATGTCAGCTGTGAAGAGATTCCCCCAGTCACGATATCTTCTAGCCAGACTGGCTGATCTGTTCCTATTACTTTCTAGCACACTTGAAGTCAGGACAGCCTTACTGCTGAAAATTTTCTTTGTGTATTATTAAAGGATACAGGCAGCACCAAGCTTTCTGCGTATCCACAGTCTAGCACCATGGCAGAATTGATCCCAAGCGTCAGGAGAGACATTAGATGACTTGGAGCAAACAAAACGGAAGGTACCTACATGGAATCCAAAAGGACAATTTACAGAAGGGGGGAAAAGAAACAAACCACCCAAAGCACTGATGCTTTCTCCAAATGTCATATTAAAAGCAAAATTCAAACAACTGTATCTTGAGGTATCCATTTTTAATTTAGTTTTTAAGGTAGTGTAGTAATGAACAAAATACAACAGGATTCTAAATTCTACGTTCATCCTATTTGTGGCACAAACCAGTAGCTTCAGTAATAATGACTTGGAATGGCCTTGTAAGAACAGCAAGTGTTAACTACAGAATTCACCTTAAGTCATAGATCAGGTTTCTTATTGTCATCGTAAAGAAAGTAGAGAAACTAAAACACAGCTACTTGAAATGTTGTGTAAAGACTTGAAGATGTGAACAAGGGCACCAGAGAACCCATAAAAGTGTGCCTTATGACAACATACTGTTGCACACAAACTCACAGAAGAGGCTATTTAAAACACTCTCCCCAAAGCAATGTAGAAACTCAGGCCAAAATTACAAGAGAATTACTTCTTTCTCCCAGAATTCCATAAATCAAGTGTCCTAGATAATGACAGTTCCTTTAATGGAACACCTTGAAGTGTGAATTAAATGAGCAATTTCAATAAATCCTGCATTTAAGGGTGACATTATTGATACTTAGCCCAGAGACACAAGTTATAATATTGACCCTGTATTAATACGTCACTCCTATTCTTTGCACCAAATGGAAATACCAGCCAGAGAGAATTAACCTCACATCAATATTAGCTGGCTTCTTAACAAGTTACAAAGTCTCTCCATCAAAATACGACTTTCCAAGTCATGAGTCATTTTCAACAACCAATTTCGCACAGCAGTGCTTTATCTGAGACATGCTTTTTTCCTGTAAGGGGATAAGGAAAAAAACCCCAAATCACTCAAATCTTTCAGCAAGTTCAAGTCATCAGAAAATCTTATCACTAGTAGGAAAGAATTATGCAGAAGTTTAAGATTAGTTGGTCAACTGTGTTGTGGCAGCACAGTGAAGAAGTACAGCAGACAAACTAGTTTCACCACTTTTTATTGAAGAACCTTAACCTTTGCTCTATCTGAATTGAAGAAGTACGGAATCACCTTTCAAAACATTTTCTGTTAGAACTAAGCAAGAATTAGGTTCAGACTTTTCTTCAAAAAGACAACTAAGCAGAGAAGGTAACAAATTTCAGGTAAGCTCTTACCTAAATGAGTACAGCCAGAGGTTAGACCATGTGCTAGGCAAAGATATTGACTCTGGTAGAAGTCATGAGATTTGCTGACAGAGCACTAACAAGTGTTTAAATATAAATTCTGGCTTCAGGCAGCGCTCAATGGGGATTATTGGATCTGTCCGGAACAGTGCAATGTGAGTCGTATTTTCGTACAAGCCAGAAAAATCTTTCAGGTTCCTGTTAATAGCTCCTGTTTTGTGGCCTCGTGAAGAGTCAGATCGGAGCAAAAATGGCCTTTAGTCCAATTTCCAAGCCCTACTTCTCCAGACGATCACCAGCTTTTTTTCATCTTCTTCATGCCCCTCTCATTCTTTTGGCACTATTTTCATTTCATCTGGCAGTGATTGTAAGTAAAATTTCTACCAGCAAGTGCTATGTTGAGCATATACAGTACCTATGTAAAACACATACCTCAAAATGCTTAAAAAGGACTCTTGTGAGTGTGTCTCTGAAGTGTGAAGGGCACAAGACAGATTCTATGATCACAACACGACGGTCTCTGGGATTCACCAGCAGATGTCTAAAAAAGACAAGATGTGTAAAACAAAACTGCTAAGTTTAAGCACATATTATGAGACCTACCTTATTTTCATATTCCATTCTCCTCAAAAATCCTAAAAACTGGCATTTTGATCACATTTTCAACAGCAGATCCCAAAGTCTTTTTCCCAAATTAAAAAAAACCAACACTTTCCTAGAAGAACGCTAGGAAACTGAGTTACAGAAAACAAGTTATAGAGCTACCTGCTGGCAGGCTGTGAGTATCCGTTCTACATTTCTAAATCAATATAAAGAAATGCAAAAATAGGCACGCACAACAGCCATTAACGGCTTGTCCAGTGTCATACAGTGTCTCCATAAAAGAGAAAGAATGATGATTCAGATGGCCTGGTTTCAGTGGAAGAGGGTGGAATTGTTCTGATTTCAATTGCAAGGTGATGATCAAGGATGGGGAAAAAAAAAACCAACCCACACCACAAGATCTGAGGCACAGAAATTAAGTACTGTTTTCCCTGTACTGTATAAAAATAAGGATTGGAAGTAAAGAGAAAAGACCAAGTCCACCTTCATTATTCACTAATAGTACTAAAAATACAACAAAAAGATGTATTACCGAGGTAAAAATACTCCACAGGTTAAAATTCCTCATTCCAAACCACTGTCATGTGGAGAGAGCTCTGCACCGATGTAAGATGAGCTTCAGCCCTACCAAAATCAGTGTAATTTATTAGGTAATGACTCTTCCCTATCAAGTCCTTTATAAGTGCCACAGTTAAAAGGCAACTTATCAAATACTTTTTATTTCTAGAGAGCAACTGATGCTGCAGGACACTAACTCTTTGTAATATAACCTGAATCGCAGTACCACTGAATTTCTCCTGTAAGAACACAGCCAGGCAGCCACCTGCAAAAACTTGTTTCAGTTTTCTTATTCAAGTAGACCGCAGTCTTCAGTCACACTTCTAACGCCTCTCAACGTACTCAGAAAAGAGTTGCAGAAGGCTTGAATAACTAACATCCCAACTATCTCTTACCTGAAATACAGCATATGGATAAACTCCTTCAGATACGAATATAGCTCTTCTGTATTAATATTATACTGAACAACTTTGACAGGCTGTAAAGTAAAAACATCCACAGACAACTTAAATGCTAGGCAGTTATTATATATAAATATATACATGATACACAAAGAAATATATATGATATGAGATACATTATCTGACATATATAAAGAAATATTCACTCTTGCCTGATTTGCTCTATGTCCTCAACAATGTATCTCATAAACTAATGTTGAGATAAGTTACCAGTACAAAAAATTAACGTGAATAATCTCTGGAGTTTAGTTATAGGGTGAGTTTCCCAAAGCTGCCATCCTCTACTAAAAGAAAAAAAAATTACTACACAGCTAGGCAAAGAAATTTCTCAATAAACGTCCCAAACGTAAGCTGCATGGGTGATGAGTACCAATTAGCATCAGCATTGCTACCACACTTACTTGTATCTAGTTACAATCTTCTAATAGCAGCAGTTATAAGATAATGAAAAATAGCTTATGATGGCCAGAAAACATATCTGCAAATTCTTTCGATACCATAACATACCTAGCACTATAAAGGTAAAACAGTTCAGGTAAAATAATTTACCTTTGCAACATCAGGTTTCTTTATTTCACTAGGAATAATGCATCTTGGTCCTGTTTCTCCTGCGAAACCACACCTAAAAGAAAACATTGAAAACCTTATAATTTGAAGTCACTATTTAACGTACTGTGCCTAGGAATCATCCAAGAGTAATTAATTAGGGATACTTCTGTGACTGCAAAGAGGTGTTTTGCATATAGCTTTTCTATCTAGCCATTTTGAATGAGAAAGACTTTATATCTTTTAACTGACTCCCTCTCAGGTGCATTAAACAGAAGTGAAGAAAATTTGTTTTGTAAGGACTGTAATGCTCAGTTCTCATGTGCCTCCAATTTTCCACTGAGTACACTTCTCTGTGTATAATCAACCACTTGAAACCTTCCTTATTGCCTACTAAATTTCCAAATAAATTCCTTCCTGTATCCTCCATACAGGCCCACAGTTTTCACTGAAGCTCTCAGTAAGCACAGGCAAGATTAAGTTATCATGTCCTCTTTAAATCCTCATTTTCTGTGACATTTATTTAGAAGAAACAAAAGACAAAGACATGATAATCATGCAGGTCCTGCGGCCTATTTCACTGCTGACCAGCAACGTTCCACTGACACTTTTTTCCTATTTCCATCTTTGAAATGCATTCCCTTCACAAGCATCCTGGGTGATTTAAGGTATTACTGCCTCAAGATGATGGGTTACTGCTCTGGGCCTCCTGACAAAACATGAGGGCTCTGCACCCAACTTAGATGCAGCATAATAAAAACAGTAGCAACCCCAAACCAAACTTTTCAGAAACACATCTGGTTTTCATCAAGCGATTGCATCTTAGAAGACACAAGAACCATGGAAGAAGACAAATTAAAACCCAAGAGAAATTCAAGATTTAAGAAACTCAGTGCTTGATATTTGTTTCACCGCTGCGACCCCCATTAAGCACAAAACTCAGAAGAAAACTACAGTAGAAAACACTAGTAGAAAACTATAAAGCTACCGTATTTTGAGTACTTTTAATGTAAAAGGTCAATTAATACTTTCATTTGGTATTTGGCAACTATCAATGTGTTTCTTCATATCATTTCAGAAAAAAAGATAATCTTAAAATAGACATAATTCAGAATTTAATTTTTTTTCTTTGGTCTCCCAAAGACTTGTGCGGTCCCAGTGTGTATACGCAGTTGTCCTGCCTGTCATCCTGATAATTTTTGAACTTTTGGTTAATTTCAGCCTTATTTGGAAAAGGACAGATGCCTCATACAACTGTTACCTCTTCTACAAGAATGAAGGCTGGAAACAGATCCTAAAAACACACTACTCAGGGGAAATGCTTTTCCATGAGAGCATGGTATTACACAAAGAACGCCCATGGGATAAAACGTCACAAGCACCCCAAATTTGGGAAAAGCCTGCGATCAGCAACATGATGTGAATCCACAAAAAGCCCCTTGTGGCATTGCTTGTTTCCATCCATGAAGGCTTTGTTAAATCCTCTCCATAACCACACTGCAGCGATTCCCAGGTAACAAAGCCTGCCTGCTGGTCTGCAATTATGCAGTCACTTTTAAAAAAGCAAGTACAACTTAATAGAAAAACAAGTTTGGACAAGAAACCCTGTTCCTGCAACTCCCACCTCTTTAGAGAGAAATGCTCAGGGCTTCAGGCAGGTAAATGCACCCACACGGACCCAGCCACAGGTGTGGGCCTACCCTAGGAAGAGGGGCATACCTCTGAAGAGGTGCTTTTGCTGCAAGATAATCTTTTTTTCTGTGTGCAGGCCGCCTCTCCAAACAGGCCACTGGAAGCCAAGGAGCATTTCCAGAGCATTTTAACCCCGGACAGAGGGCCGGATTGCTTAAACAGCCCCTTCTTCACCTCACATGAGCCTGGGGGAGCTGGCGCTTTCCAACAAAACGGGGTATTTTGACATGGGGCGGGCAGAGGCACGGCCGCATTTTTGGTCCACGACATAAAGGACTAAATACTAAGCATTTCTGCTTCCACCTCGAGTTACACCCCTTTTTTTTCCTCTAAAACACGAAAATAAATAATAAGGCTGCTATTGTCGGCTTTGT